GGTTCTATGAGTATTGTTTTGTTTCCTTAGATCTCCAGACTGGAGGGGAATCTACAGGCAACAGTGCTGGAGAATGGAGAGAACTTCTCTGTAGGAGAGAGACAACTCATATGTATGGCTAGAGCACTACTACGCAACTCCAAGGTTTGTACATGAATTTCTGTTATTCTGATTTCTTGCTATTTACACACTTCCCAACTTTTCAGCCGCTGAACAGCCACTGGATTACTACTGCCACATATCTGTCATGGTTTCGTCCTGATTATCTGATCAGCTGTCAGTGGGCTTTAACAGCTGTAAAGACTTCTGATGGAGTTTGTGTCTGCACACAGGATCACTGTACTAAGGCAAACCTATGTTTTTTTTATGTATGTTGACCTATTCAGACTAGTTCTCAATATGCAGATGTCACATATGTGAGTTTCAAACATTTAGATATATTGAAACAAATGGATATAGTTGATGGTGCCATTATGATTAATCAAACTCCAACAACCCTCGTGGACGAGAGGCATAATTAAGACACACAGCTATCATCACTGCCAGAGCAGCAGTGTTTCCTCTCTGTAGCCTGTTGCCTGTTTAAAGAACCGCATTCTGTATTTTCTATGTGTTCTGTGTCCTGCTTATAAGCGCAGGATCGTTTTCTATAGGCAGAATGCATTTGTATATTTATTCATTATTTGCGTCTGTATTCATTGATATTCTGATCGTGTAGCGATTATCAAATAACCCAAAATATGATTATGGTGTCTCTTGAACGCTGGAAAGAATTTATTAGGCCAAATGTTTTGGGGAAATTAAAAAATATGTAACTTATTAAACCTGACAATCAGTAATATCAGCCTTACACAACCGAATGAAATGAAAACAAAAGATGTAAAAAGTTTTTCTTGCTGACAGAAGGTCTCTCCTGCTCTCTCTGACTTTAATTGTATCCATCATAAAAGTTATTGAGGGAAATAACGGATCATAAAAAGACAAATCTTTCTAAAAAATGGAGAAAGTTGTTTGTTGTACTTTTGTTGTTCAGACCTACATTTAACATACATTTTAACCAGATGGTGAAAAATTAACCAATCAAATATATGACTTGAGTTTAATCTGTGATTTCACTCGGCTATGAAATGTCAGTAACGTTAAGAAATATCAGTTCGATTGGTTGAAGCGTCCAATCAAATAACTGATAACTTTAAAACACTTCCGTGAAGGCTGCTCTTCCTCGCTCATGGCTCCTCGGATAACCATCCTCACTCCTCGGTTGAAGCGAGGATCGCGGAGTGAGGAAAAGACAAATGAGGCACTTAAGATGTACCAATAGTCCTGTCTTCTCATTATTGGTAGTCGTTTCGTCTTTCATTCCTTCCTTGTTGCATGGTGTACCTGTCTGCCAGACCACCTGCTTTATTTGGACTCTGAAAGCCATTTCAATAAAATCATTGAATTGTTCCCGCTGCCTCATCTGTGACTGCGTTTGGGTCCTTCCCCTGCTCCAACAGATCATTCTTTTGGATGAGGCAACAGCATCCATCGATGCAGAGACAGACGCCTTGATCCAGACCACCATCAAAGAAGCCTTTCAGGACTGCACCATGCTCACCATCGCCCATCGTATCAACACTGTGATGCATGCAGATCGTATTCTGGTCATGGACAACGGAAAGGTTTGTAAGACTGAAAAAAAGATAAAGATGAAGTTTATGTGCTTCTAATCCTAGACTAACAGTAAGGGATTTGTCCAACAGGTGGCTGAGTTTGAC